GTGAGGCCTTTTGAAACAAAGCTTCTGTTAATATCTTTAAACTTTTATTGTAACTTCTGCACATTTTCTAGCGATGCAATTGTTAGTCTCTACAGGCAAACCTCGTTTTAAGATAAACTAATCCATCCTTCCAAGCAGCCCGGTTGTCGTAGAAATTGTGGTCTCGAATCCTGTCCCATGAACGTGCACACAGCCCTCTTACCGGTGGTTAAAGTGGTATTCATGAACAGTTGGTGTGCGCAGGCGATCTCATCTCGTGATACCGATCCGATGGCCTGATGGCCGAAGCACAGTAGCAAATTGTATAGTCGCACCGAAAGCCACCAACTTCCGTGCATTTTGCTTCGCTTCGTGTTGTGTCCTCCGACTTTTCCCGTCTGCCATTTTGGGCAAGTGGTAGGGGGTTAGAAGAAAGCATACCGGAGCGGTACATAGCTGGCCGAGAAGAGATGTCAGCGTACCGATACGGACCAAGTTGAGGGCCCTCGACAACATGATACATTGGCGCCAGAGCTACGCCAACTTGTTGCTTCGCCAGCTCTGGATCCCGACAGATCTGTTTTCCTTTCATCCTCGACAATTTAGTTGTCTTCATTTCAACAAGTCTTCATCCTGCCTGCATACAAATTACGATAAAGCTGACAGAAGCATCCTACTAGTTATGGTATACGACATCTTGTTGTGACAGAGCATTGAGGAGTGTGGTCTAGCGGTAATTAAATACAAAATTACCACAACATTTAAACATTGCATATCCAATATCTGGTAAAAGTTCATTTATGCAAAATGCTCTCGATTAAAGAGCACTTTGAGCTCACTTTCCCCGGTTTACTTCTGCCAGCCACTTCGTATCTTCATCTTTGGCTTCTCATCTCAACTCTCCTTATTTCTTGCATCTACAAACACGTCGATCACTCCTCAGAAAATACGCCATGCCAACAATGCGATGGTATGCATACTCAGCGACGACATCAGGAGATCCAATAGAAACCTGATACTGAGCATGGGGCCAAAATATCCCTTCACATTTCCCCTATTGTGAGGCCCTCTTGGTGGATAGAGTTAATCCGAACGGGAAAAATCTGTTCGCCAGAGATAAGGTCGCATCCCTTTCGTTTTATAAATTTGGAATAAGTCCATTTGCAGGCTTTGGTGTGACGTTGTGATTGGACTAGCAACAGATGACCATCAAATAGCTCAAGTGCTGAAAGGTGAATCGTCCATGACAGTGAGAGGGCACATAGGAAGTTGAAATCACACTCAAGTCTGGATGCAAACTCGTTTTAGTGTCGCGGCAATCAGTGAAATTGGACAGCGAAAACTATACTTTGCCTGACTATAGAATTTTTCGTATAAGTACAGTTTCGAGACTACCAGTAAATCAGTAATATGAGATGTATTCACC